TGAGTCGTCATAACTCTTCTAAATGAAGACATCCCAACTCTCTCGGCAGAGTTAAATGGTTCGAATAATTTGTTATTTTAGCATGTTAGTTTTCTACGGGATGGGGTCGTTAACCCGATGCTTAACTGTTAGGATATTCATCCAATATCGTAAGAGAATTGTTCGTAGGTCTAATTCTTTTGGCCAATTCCTATTGGTCGTCCTAACTATCAATGTCACATACTTCAATGTTGTTTCCTATTCGACCTAACTGTATAAATATGCATTATCCGTGGTGTTTTATGACCTGGATCCGTAGTCCGAGATCCTGATTCTCTTCTGGACTCGGACTTCGTACTTTCTGGATGCTTGTAGAATACATGTTCTACTTCATATCAAGTCTTCTTTTACCCAATGGGGGGTTAGGACGTGCTTATTTGAGTAGCCTGTCAAGTCGCCGGATATTCGATCCTCGCTCTCGTTTCCTGACTGAGGTAAACTCGTAATAGTTCGAGCATATCAAATGACGTGTTCACGTGCATGCTTAACATTAACCCTACTCTTTAATCCGGACTTGGGACTGGCAGTAACCCTAGAAGGGCTCCAGGTGGAGTTTAAAGGAATGTAGAAATATGATAATCTAGTTATTTAATAATTATATACTAAACATTATTCGTATTAGTAATCCGTAAAATAGTTACAAGTTTACCGTTTTGTTGATATTCTCTTCGTTAGGTCATTGAGATATTATACTTCCGAATATACATGTCATTACAGACTATTTTATTGAAGGAACTCCTTGCACCTTTGACTTACAGGTCTTATCTACATGATAGTCGGTCAGTATTGTTCTATACATCCCGATTGCATCAGGTGATGGAGTTGTGTTTACATTCAGTCTGTTTACGTAGTATTCTGTAGCCTGTATACACCATTGGTTCGGTTTATCAACTCCTTTAGATTGACTTCGTATACGTCAACTCGATTTATCGACTAAATTTCTGTTATTGGCGCTTAACGTTTGTTATGACACCGTCCTAATATTAATTCAATGAATATGTTACCTCTGAACAGGACTGAACACTCAGTGCTTTGTGTGCATTCCAAGGTAGAAAACCACAGATTCTTCCTTCGTCCTAGCTGTATTCTTAATGTAATTTGAACTTCTTCCTTGCGTATATATATATACATGATGTAATGCACTAGATGTTAATTTGTCGTGATGGCCTATTTTTATTTATATTCAATAGCTTATCAACTATTTAACACAACTAAATGTAAATGATCAGTACCTCTAAAGTTTAATTCTAGCCATTTAGTAACAATCTATGTCCATATTCTTAATAAGATTAGTATTTGTATGTTTGTTTGTTTTTTTTTTCGGAGCATAAAATCGGTGTTTTGATAGATATTCGTTATTTTCGAAATTAATCATTAATAGTATTTTAATTGGTTTTTCCACAATATCACTATTATTACCATCATAGTATTGTTGATTGTAATAATCAATGAAGAAAAAAAATAATACTCATTCTCAACGATATTTATTACAACTATCATCGTTTTTTGTTAGTCACATGATCTACTTAGTCATTTGTAGAAAAAAATTTTTGAAATTTTATAAAGATTTCAGTTTAACCTTGATATACAAATTTTTGAATGGTATATTTTTTTGCGAGTGCTTGCTACACATTATCTGGTTGTGTAAACTAAAAATAAACAACTAATTGAAAGTTGATTATTTAAATTCATTAATTTACACTTATTGTGAAAGTTTTATTATGAGTTTTGTGAACTGAATTTATTATTTTAATCAATGATTGGTAATTTTAAAAGACTTTATGTGTACAATCGATGCATTTATTAGTTTTATCAGTTGACTGACACAGTCCTGGTGTAATATACGAAAAAGTCAAGACCAGATGGAATATATATATAGTTTTCAGTAGAAGATACAGTTTATTTACGAAACATGTACAGACAGTCTTTAGACATGCATTTACTATAATGCAATTAGGTTTTAGACTGTATTCTCTCACATCTCTTCTGTTCTTCAGTATACTATGATCTCCCCATGTATTTCGATCTCCTAATAATCTTCTCTCTGGTAGCAACTTTTATGCGACGCCCCGCTGCTAACTACTGACAGGCCACCATCTTCTGGACCTAAGTGCATTTGGATTTATTTTAAGTCTACATCATTATTTAGTGTTTCTTGAAAAGAAACATTTGTAAATGTCAGTTACATTTAATATGTAGTTACGAATAAAATTATTACTGGTTAATCTCATCAACCTCGTACAACCAAATGCCAGTTATCTGCTTTGTATGTGTTCAAATACTGTGGTTGAACAAATCTGTATACTAAATATCACTTATCGAATGGCTTTTGCCAAGTTGAGCTATGTATGGCTTAGACGAGATATCTGTCTGCTAACCAAAGGACTAGTCTACTGTGCATCAGTTCGCTCCGTCAATAAAAATAGAGGATATTCGTGGGTTACTAGAAATCGATCACTGACAATCCCATCTCTCTGTACTTACGTTGTATGACAACTTGAAATCATATATGTACGTACCAAGCTCTACGTTGTTGCTGACTGACTGGACATTTAAATTCTCGATAACAAATTCACTTGGTCATTTATTAGCTATAGCTTTCGTTTTAGATTTAATTGTACTTTGTTGAATCATAGAGATAATCTATCTTTGTAGCATATTTGTGATTCTTCCACACTTATCTGAATATAGTTCTTATTGAAGTATGATCGAATTCAAGTAATCAGTTTAGGATTGTTTTTTTCTATCCTGTTAGTTGTAAAGTAATCAAGTATTGTATGTATCTTAAAGGGATAACATAAATTATTAGTATTTTCTTCTCTTAATTGATATGGTGGCTGCAGTTCTTTTTTATTTAGAAGTTTACAGATAATCCTGCTACGTACTCAGTTGTTAAGATGAATTTCTGTGTAGTATTTGTTGAAGTATTGATTTCGAAAATGCTTTCATGTTGTCGATCTATCTTGACAAGCATTCATATACACAAAAGTCATTCTTAAATCGTGTATAAGTAATGTTAGTATTCACTTACCTCTCACTAGTATTTCTCTTAGATATTTCGAACTGTTGAATAGCGATGTTTATATTCAAGTTGATTGAGATCATATTTCTTTGCTATATGTAAGTTACAAATACTACTTAATTGTTTTAATAAAAGTCTAATCAGTAGAGTCGTTATTCAGTATTTTAACGTCATCTATGCTAATCAATGACAGTGTTAAACGTTAAATTTTAGTTGATTGAGTTCAGCTATTAATCGTAACTGTTATAATACTACGCCTGAGGGCATATCTGAGTTGGTAATTAATAATCTTTGAATATACATAGAATCGTTAATTTAGATGCATAGTTGATGGCTTATTTTTAAGAATTTCTGTCCTAACAACGTTTAGCTCTTAATTTCAACTAGGGAAAACCAAAATAAAAATTCGTCGAGATTAATAAATTCACAATAAAAAAAAACTTGTTTATTTCATTATATCATATGTGTATGAGTAGTAGTAGCAGGAGGTATAGGGAATAGTTACTCTAAATAATGTCTAATTCATGAAACTAATTCACTCAGGCTGATATATTGAAGCATTTTCTTGTTTATGGTTTCGTTTAGCTCAAATATCTTCAATGTATGTATAGATTTAAGTAGATTCACTTGAAATTGAAATTCTGACAATATTTATGGTAAATCAGTTAAATGATAACCTATATATGAATATATATAACATGATCTATCACACTATAAATTGACTACTTAATTACTTCTTAAATTATCTAATCACTATGATCGTAGGATTATCATTTGAGTAACCTTAATACGTGGTGTATGTTATGATTTTTATGAAAAATATTCCTGTACATAAGAAATGAATGCATACTTCATATATATATATATATATATATATATATATATATATATATATGTATATATATGTATATATATGTATATATATATGTATATATATATCGCATTCTTAAAGTGAATGTCATTTGAAATTTCGATGCGTAATGATTAAATTTAATTATCACAATTAAAGTAAATGGTAAATAGTCATCTCCTTTTTTTGTTAGTTGACAAAAGTAGCGTAGAACAGCATGGTACCCTTAAGACAATAAAGTAATTATTTTGTTTAAATCACCTCTTCATTGCTTAATGTTTCACATACTTAACATTATAATCTATCACTCACTATAGGCATATAAAAAAATGTATGTGAAAGAATGTCTAAAATAAAATTAGCTTAAAACTAGGGCTTATGGCAGTTCCATTAAAATATGACACAATATCATAAAGTCTACGAACAGTTTATCTGAATTATTATGTGTTATATTATTTACATATAAGAAATCAATTGTCAAATATTACAGTTAATGAAAATGCATCCACTATTATTTTTCCAATTTTCTTTTATGCCATTCATTATATAATAAGTATTGGAATTGATTTATTCTGTCTACTTTTCCTATGATTAATTATTCATTTCCATATCTTTCCTTCCTATGGTTGTTGTTGTTGTTAGATTCTTTTTTTTTTGTTAAAATTACTTTTTTTAAAATATACAAACTTAAATTAGTGTACATTGCTATGATGTTCTACGTCAACATTAGTATTAATCTGCTGCTTCATTTGGATACAATGTTGGTATCGATCAACTCGTAGATAAAGAAAAAAAAATTTAGGCTTGATTGACTAGTTGGTCAGTTAGTTAATTAGTTTTCCTGTATGGAAACTTATTCATGTTCTTTATTGATCATAATTGTTTTTCACATCAACTTTGCATTCAATCTAATCTGTACTGATTGAATATCATTTCTTAATTATTCGTTCACTTATAATTTCTTTGTTCTTTTAAACAACTTGAATAATATTCAATGTACAATCGTTTATTTTTGCTTTAATTAATCATTGTTATCATTTTAGTTCTTTCTCATTAATTATCTATATGTATGTATATATTTTCATATAGCAGAAACTTACATCAAAAGATATCAGTAATCCTTCAAATTTTCGTCATATTGAACATGTTGGTTATGACAGAGAAGCTAAGACATTTGATATATCTTCACAAGAAAGTGCAATTATGCGTGACATACTACGTGCTATTGGACGTGAAGATGCTATGAATATACCGAGTGAACGAACGTTTGTTTACAATTTCGCACGTGAACATGGTGGTTTGGAAGAGGTAAATATAACAATAATAACAACAATAAATATCATGTTGTGTAAACATTATTTGTAAAATTTATCAACTTGGGTTAGAAATATCTTATTTTTTATAGCACCCTGTTTATGTCGTCGGGTTAATGGTCTAAAATTGCATCAAAAAAATTTTACTGAAAGTCATCGATGTGTGTTTATGACATCTGTTCGACTTATAGGTTGACTCGGATGTCTGTTATGCCTGTAACTCAATGATTTTTACAAATTTGTTATCCCCGCCTTCTGTGAAAACCTTGTTACTGCAGTAACAAGCATTGCAATAATGGTCAACATTTTTAAAGTATTGATTTACATTGAAAATGTGAGTGGTATGCTCATGTGATTCTATCAACTTGTTCAAATCAAATATTTTAGTAAAATAATTAATTTTTGTTTTGTCTCGTAAAGAGCAAGATAAAAATCACTGAAACTTGTTTAATCACAGGAAAAATACCAATAGATCACGTTATAGTGATTAAGATTTTATTTTGTAAAAATAATCGAAATTTATCGAATTTATGACATAAAAGTTAATTAGAATCTAGCGATCAACTGTATTTTTGTGTACTCAGCTTTGAGTCGCACATTTTTTTAAATGAGGTTTTCGTAATGTTATGCGGTCGTAAGGTGAAGTATGTGAAACATTTCAAGCTTAAAACTCAATATTAGAAAATCGAATGAATGCCTTAGACATTGAACCAATCATTGATTAAGTCTTTAGCTGTTATTACTTGAAACAATGTTGGATCTTCATATAACCCAGTTACAAAATGTGTGACTTTATTTAAGACATATTCCTCATACTGACTTGATAATTCGCTGGAAGTGATTACACTGTAAGTGTAAATGATATCTGAAATGAGAGCAATAAAACGGTTGTGGTGGCAGAGTTTATCTCCTAAACTCCGTATATCCCGTCCTCACGACCGTCACCATAGAACACGGGTTGTTGCCACAATTTATTTGTAAGTACTTCATAACTCCATTTTCATTCATATGGCATGCATACTTGTTTAAGGCTATTCTTCATTTATAGCAACCGTGTGTTTGTTTGTTTAGATTCAGCGGCAACTGAACGGTTCTCAGGGTGATAGGTGTAGTATACTAACTACCAATGTACCTCCTCCAAGACCACCACCACCTCCACCGCCCACTGCACCTCGTCGACAAAACCTTGGTCCTGCTACACCTTCCCAGCCGACTGCAATACACCACCCACCTCCACCACCGGTCCCGCAAGTAGCTCCTAAGCCAGTCGCACCACCACCACCGACTCTACCTGCACCGCCCCTTTATGAAGTCTCTGCCCCACCGCCACCCCCACCCCCACCTTTATTCCCCAACTCTACAGCTGCTCCTCCGCCGCCTCCTCCCCCTCCTCCTCCTCCTCCAGCATATCCTACCTCTGAGGTTGAGAACGAAAACGCATCAAATGCTCCTTCAAAGTCTACAACAGGACTAACTGTTGATCTTCAATCACAAATTATGTCCTTCCAAAAAAGCAACCTGCGTAAGGTGAGTTTCCGTATACCATGATTTATCATGGTAGCGATTCAGTTCTCCTTGCTTTTATTTATTGACGTGCTATTTCAGTTTGCTTGTGCTATTAAATATTCTACAAAGTTATATAAATATTGGGTTCCAGTTATTTTCCTCAGCCAATGAGGGTTGGCCATCAACCAGGTTTTAGCTTTATTTGATGACATCCTTAGTGCTCTGTAAACATAAGCTAGTAAACTGTGAAAATAACTTTTCCATCTTCTATAACATCCTGAATCCTACCTTTGCATAACAACCATGCGGTTCTTATACAAATGCATACTAAAACCACACGAATGTCATGCTTCGATAACGTTGTATCCACCCTTTCATCTTACTAGATGCTTCACTCATTAAGACTACATCGTTGTGAATCAAAGGGTACAATGGGTTACATCTATTGTTTCAACTTTTATATGGCTGAACGAGAAATTGTGACAGTAAGCACTCACATGCAATTTAGAACCTAACGACTCCATACAAAGAAACTTTACGTGGCTTTTGGGACACTTCTGTGTGGTTAGGTAGTGTCTGCAACAGTTTGATATATTTATTTCTTGCTCTTTTCGCCAGACATTACGTTGACACTCACGCCATATACTACTTAGGAGTAGCTCACACCACACTATTACTGACTATGAGCTAGCTAATCAATCCTTGACCAGTTGTGTTATGATATCCCATCTGTTCACAGTGTACATAAATAAATAAAAATAGGATTTTATTTCAGTTAAAAATACTTCGGATAAGCCTATTTATGCATAGAAATCATTGAAAGCTTAGATTATACATAATGAAAGAAAATAAAAACGGTAAACTCTTATTTTCCTTCGGTTTTTTTGCCAACGTATTCATCACTGCTAGCCTTCATGTTAGGGGGCAATATTTACCAATGGATTGATATACCATCATCCCCCATTATTTTGTTTTTGTTCCATGATCGATTTTCAGTATAAATAAATCTCCTTTCTTTTTTATTTGTTCCTTTCTTATCCTACTTAAGATTACTCCTGGTGAAGGTGTGTCCAAACCACCTGGGAAACCTATTGGTAGTAATCATGATACTACTACTACTGGTAGTAGTAATAATACTACTGCAGCCAATCCAACTGCCGGTGGAGGAGGAGGATTCGATTTACTACAATCACTAGCTCAAGCAATGGAAATGCGACGTAATCGTATGTGTAGTAATGATAGTGGTGACGAATCGGATGCTAATTCTCCACCAGGTGATTTCGGATCAGATGATGACTGGGAAACATGAATCAATTTAAAAGAGAAGAAGTAGAAGAAGGAGGAAGAGCTAATAACAGACCAATTTGTTACTTAGTTTGTTTACCACATGCTTTCATTACACACACACACACACACACACACACACACACAATGATCTTTTACTGACTTTTCTTTTTTTGTTCGTTGGGCTTTATTCACTTTTCTGATAATTGATTTTTTCTTATTCGTACTTATATTAGAATCATATGCAGATGGAATTTTCTATGTATTGTTTGTTATTTCACTCATTTGTTTGTTTATGCAGCTTTAATCCAAGTGCCTTAATTTCTTTTCTTTACTTCTTTTTTGTTTTGTTTTTTTGTATATCTTAAAAAATTACACATATTTTAGCAGCATATTATTAATAAGTAATACATATTGTGCATATCGTTTCATAAACTATTTCAGAAAAAAACATCATTGTCTTTTTCTCTCTCTCTCTCTCTTTACATTTTGTCTTTTGCTACGACCGCTTATATTTTGGCTGTTAATTAATTTGTGATTTGCATATTGACCTTTTTCATTAACAATAATGATAGTATTCTCATTGTTAAACAATTAGATCTTAATCTAATTTTAAAAATAATGATCAATGATTATTTTGACGAAAAGCTGACATTCCTCTGTTATCATTGCCATTTTTTGTATATTGATAATGATAATATAATTACTATTATTATAATTATTACTATATTTATCAGTGCTGTTAAGAGTAGTGTTAGAATTTCAGTTAACTAATTGTTAAGAAATATCCGCCAACTCTATTACGTAGCACATTTTTATTCTAATAATACTAGGTACTTTTTGGATAAAAGGAAGCGATGCCGTTTCGTCATGTGACTTACTTACTTACGCCTGTTCAGCATTCTTCAACCCGCTCTGTCCCAGGTCTTCTTTTACCGTCCTAACCAAATGTTACTCATTATTTTCATGTCTGCCTCCGATCCGCGGTGAAATATGTTCTTTGGTCTACAAGTTAGGGCTTGGTTCGTGATGCAGTTAGATTTCCATGATCTGTATCCTATCCACCTCCAGCACTTTTCCCTAATTTCTTGTTCAGTTGGAGTCTGCTTTCTATCCTACAATAATTCGTTGCTGATTGCACCTGTCCGACGGGTCCGCAATATCTTGCATTGAAAACTGTTAATAAACTCCTGTATCTTGTGAATGACGGCTTTCATAGTTCTTAAGTTTCCGCTCCAGAGAACAGAACAGTTTTGACGCTTGTAGTGAAAATTGTGAATTTAGTGTTGGTTGACCGTTGTCTTAAGTTTCAGATTTTCTCCAATTGTTTTATTATTGCTTTTGATGTGTCGGCCCGTGTCTTCACACCTACATCAGATACACCTTATTTATCAATGATGCTGCCCAAGTACGTTAATGTTTCCACTTCTTCGAGTCCTCCATCAGGCCCCATTTTTTGGTATACTTTGTGTCCTATTTTGGAATCTTACTTTTTCCGTTGTGAATGTTGAAACCTACTGCTGCAGAGGCTGCTACTACACTTGTTGTTGCTTGTGAGATAGAGTCAACCAGTCAGCCGCAACGTAGGGTGAGAGTAAGCAACCTTACCTGAAACCGTTCTCCACTTATAACGAGTCTGTCAGCTGTCTTTCATGCACTATCTTGCAGTTTTATCCATTACAAGAGTTGTGTCTGATGTTGACTATCTATTCAGACACACCATAGTGTTGAAGAAGCCATTCTATCCTCTGTCAAATGCTTTCCTGTAGTCGTTGAAGTTGATGTAGAGTGGTGCATTTCACTCGATTGATTGTTCCAAAATGATCCGTATTGTTACAATTTGAGCGGTACACGATCATGCTTTACGGGATCCAGCCTGTTGGTCTGGGAGTTGATTATCTACTAAACACCGCTGTTTAAGACTTTTTCTGCTATTGAGAGTAGGGTGATACGTTTGTAGTTCTCACACTAGAATCTCTGTTCTTGACAATTATCCTACTTTCCAATATGTCGGTACTTGCTCTTTCGCTCATATCTTTCTCGAGAGAATAAAGAGCATCTTTATAGTTAGTTCTGTAGTTGACTTTTTTCACTGTCATTGCAAGGTTTTCCACATGCTTTCGTTCATTAGCTTTAATGTTCTTCTTCACTCGTTTGACGTGACTTTGACATCTCTGCTCATGTTTGGGTGTTATTGATTGTTGACTTCTTGTTCTTCTTCTTCAGTCATATCCAGAATGTCAACAGAGATCCATTCTTTATGATAGTGCTTCTTGTGTTTCAGAACCTCATGACCTGTGCAGGTTACTGCTTCTTTAATAACTTCACAGTTCATCGTAATATTTTTCTCCTAATTAAGGAGGTCGTGAGAAGCCTGTAACTTATTTCTACGTGCTATCTCGAATTCGTTGAATGATTCAGTATTTCGAAGTGGGGCCGTATTAAACTTTTGTGATGCTGACTCTCCAGTTTTCTAGTACTTGTTTAGCTTCAGTTTCATGAACTCCATCACTGGGTGTTGACCTGATGCTCTTTCATCTCTTTTCGTTCTTGTGACCTGCATGGTCATTCTGAATTTTCTTTTAATGCAGATGTGGTCGATTTGGTTCTCCGTAATGTGATTTGGTGGAACCCTTGACACAGAATCCCATAAAATGATCAATCCTCGACGATTGACTGCGTCCTCTGACAGAACTTATCTTTACCGCCTCTGTTGTTAAAATTGATGGGTGTATACTACTAAAAGACATTCATCGTAATCATCTCTTTGTTTGTGTTAATGTATTCTTTGGTTTTAATGGGTCCACGAGGCTCCCATCCTATCAGTGCCTTTGTGCTTCTTTAGACAGTATCAGTGCGATTCCTTGTGTGTGTGACAGAAATTTTGTTCTTCGTGACCGGAGTACATCAGCAATTCTTCTGAAACTAAACTTTTTTGTCCAACTTGCATCGAATTTGTTTCACCCATTCCGAGCAGCAATAACTTGTATCTTTTCATATCCATAGGAACTTTAATGAATCCACTAGTCTCTCAATATGTGTGGACTTTCAATGGCCGTATTATAAATTTTGCTTCGTTTGTCCTAAGTAACATTGGCCTCGTAACTTCCGAAGGAACTTGGATTTCTTATGAGGCATCATAACTCTTTTAAATGAAGACCTTTCAACTCCCAAAGCAAATTTGAGATGGTTTGAATTATGTTTTCTAGTTGGGGCTTTTTCAGCGAGTCGATGTTCTAAGGAAGGCGGTCGCTAATCTGATGCCCAACCCTCCTCCTATGTCCGGGCTAGAGATAAACAGTAACCCTCTAAGTGCTTTAGGTGGAGTTGTGTTTTCATGTGAATCGAAACATCGGACATGAGTAGTTTAGCGACCTCATCCTTAGAAAAAACCAACTCGCTGGAAAAATCGTTTGCAAGTTGAAAATTTATGGCTAGCATTTTCAACTTCAGTTAATCCAAGATATATAGTATGTCTATCAGTCGATGTTTCCAGTAATAAATATATCTTCCTTCATCCCAGTAAACGTTGTCAGTTATGGTTCCATTATGAAGACAGTAAATTCATCTTGAATTTAAAGATTGGTAAACATATGACTATTATTTGGATATTTGATTTTATAAAATGATGAAATGATATTATTCGTTTCTATTCAAGATTATCCAGTTATTTGAAAGTGTAATTTGTCATGAGATTGATGGAGAACATTGCATTCTGATTCTTTGTACTCATAACCTTCATTCTCTGATTTTTAATGATCTATGCTTTATTACTGTTTGTAGTTATTCTGTGGTGCGCGCTACTTATAAGTAGTATATGACGCGAGTGTAAACGTAATGTCTGGCAGCAGAAGATGGGGGAAGATCAAGAAAGGAAGAGTGAGAACACAATGGAATTTGTATGAAACGCATGAATAGTGAAATGTCAGACAATGGATTGAAGATTTGCAAATTAACGGTTACGATATGGTTTTCCTATTTTACTGAGTAACTCCGTAATTTTCGTTAAATACAATTCGGTTGCCCTCACCTGTGTTCTCCTTCACTACAATTCCATTAAGAACCATTGTTAGCTTAATCCTGATTGACCTACATGTTTATCATAGCATAGAATATACAGCTAAACGTCCTACCGTTTTATCAATATGTCTATATAGTCCTAATTAGTTTTTCGAAATGCCTGATGTTGATAATTTAAAAAAAAATTGAATGTATGGTTATAATTACTATTTGAAATAATTTGTGATCGATCAACCGAGAGTAAATTAGAATGATGCTAGTGACAGTCAAACCTAATAATGCCATTTGTACGTGAAGTCATTGAATGTTCGTGTGAGTTATACTGGTCCCTAGCAATAACTGCATTCAGTGGTTAGAAATGTTCTATGATATTGCTTGGAATATTAAAGATGCATTTACTGTTTATCTTCAAATCTTGGGTTCCATCAATCTTTCTTAAAGACTTTTTCATGTTGTCCTTTCGAACTACATTCTCAGTGTTCATTTTTATCCTCACTATCTTTACTGCTATGATTATTTTGCATCTTTTATGAATCATCGCGTCATACTGATTTCATATGGTAGCTTGTACCAATGTTTGTTTGTGCTAGGCTGTACGCCGATTGTAACTAACTAAGCGATCTTCATACATTGTAAACTAGAATCCCAATGGTATGTTTTTATAACACCATTAATCATTTTTGTATGTACAACGAAAATGATATACGTCGCTACAAGTAAAATGACTTTAACTTAATGAAATCGTTTAGAATATGTAAAATTGTAGATAGTATTGTAATGAACGAAGACGTAAAGACCAGACGAAATATGTGATCTATTTATAGAAGATTCAGTTTACTAGCAAAATGTGTACATCTTATCTTCAGACATCCATTTGAAAGACAAGCAGATTACTGACTGTCTTCTTTCAAATGTCTTCTAGTCTTCACAACACTTTCATCGCACCATGCATCCTAACCATATACTCTTCTCTTCATCATTAACTTGTGCGCCATACCCTGCCTCATATTACTTATGGAAAATCTTCCTGATAGTGTATATCACAGTGTCTTTCCCTTGATGTCATATCCATCTGCTATTATTGCAATGTGAATTTGTCGTTTTTATTCACTATTTGCAGATGTACGAATACATATGATTGGTGTATCATGGCAAACTACTCCTATTTTTATTATTTGCCTTACAGTTGTACTGTTGAGGGATTGGTTGTCCGACTTCGATAAGATGAGTAAGATTATATCAGGTAAACGTTCATTGTCACCTTAAGTGAAAAATCAGATAATCTTTAACGTAAGTGGAAGTCTTGTTGAAAATAAGATGATGCTACTGCCTTTGGAACAGATAAAGCGAAACTAATCTAGAAACGGTAAGCTTATATTTGGTAAGTTAATTGGCCCTGATGAATCGTTAGCTAATGAAATTGTAAGATGAACACAAATAATTTGGATAAACTTTATCTTTGAAGCATGTTGACGACTGATCTAAATATTCAGTCATGTAGACTGGGTGTTATATGCTAAGCAATCAGTCTTATCCATTTATTGCCTTTTCTAAACCTCATCCGAATAAGGTGATAGATCTGTTACATTTCCGAATTACCAGCTCGATTGGAAGTGTATTGATATGGTAGTCTCGATATAACCAGAATACACTTTGAGAGAAATTATACATTTGGTGTACATCGGTCTGGCTCTGTTT